GAGAGAGAGGAGAAAGTTCCAGCAGGAGCAGCTCGAGGTTCAGGTAAGGAGCAGCGTTCGGTTTGAAGTGGACCCTGTTCGAATTTTCCGCTCCACCTTAAACGGTGCTCTATTTAAGGTGGAACGGCGCACTATTTAAGGGCTAACCCAGCTTAATTACTCACGCGGTGTGTCTTTTGTGAGTGAATGTGCGCGCGCGCGTCTCGTGCGCTTTAACGCGCAGCGTTACACTTCATAGCGCGAGCTGAGAAGTTGGTCCGGGTGACGTTTTCTCGGTCTTTTCTGTTGTTTTATTAGTTTTTGAGTCCAATTCTGGTTCCTTATCAGCATAACAGACACTTAGAGGCAGTTTGTTTGTTTGTTTGTTTGTTTACCACAACACTGTTTAATTTCGTTTTATGCTTATACAATTAAATTCTCTCTCTCTCTCTCTCTGTTTCTCCATGCTCTCTCTCTCTCTGTTTCTCCATGCTCTCTCTCTCTCTCTCTCTGTCTCTCTGTTTCTCCATGCTCTCTCTCTCTCTCTGTTTCTCCATGCTCTCTCTCGCTCTCTCTCTCTCTCTCTGTTTCTCCATGCTCTCTCTCTCTCTGTTTCTCCATGCTCTCTCTCTCTCTCTCTCTCTCTCTGTCTCTCTGTTTCTCCATGCTCTCTCTCTCTCTCTCTGTTTCTCCATGCTCTCTCTCGCTCTCTCTCTCTCTGTTTCTCCATGCTCTCTCTCTCTCTGTTTTTCATGCTCTCTCTCCCTGTACTCTCTCTCTCCCTCTCTCTCTGTTTCTTCATGCTCTCTTTCTCTGTTCTCTCTCTCTCTCACTCTCTCTTTCTCTCTCTATTCTCTCTCTCTCTCTCGCTCTCTCTCACTCTTTCTCTCACTTTCTCTCTCTGTTCTCTCTCTCCTTCTGTTTTCGCTCTCTCTCCCTTTCTTTCTTTTTCTTTGTTCAGTCTCTCTCTGTAGTCCCTTTCTGTCTCTCTCTCTGTTCTCTCTTTCTGTGTTCTCTCTCTCTCTGTTCTTTCTTTTTCTCTCTTTCTCTCACTCTCTTTCTCTGTTCTCTCTCTCACTCTCTTTCTCTGTTCTCTCTCTCTCTCTCTCTCTCCTTCTGTTTTCGCTCTCTCCCTTGATTCTCTCTCTTTTTCTCTGTTTAGTCTCTCTTTCTCTGTAGTCCTGTTCTAGCTCTCTTTCTGTTCTCTCTCTTTCTCTGTTCTTTCTCTCTCTCTGGTTAAAATCAGCCGTTTAGTCAGTCAGTCAGTCAGACAGCAGCGCTGTAACTCCGCCCCCTCTGACATCACTTATGACACTCAACTCAGTTCCACAGCTTCAGTTAAAGGGCATTTACTCGAGCGTTCAGAGAGATGTGGTTGTGATGTCACTCCTCTCTACCTCGTTCTGCTGTCGCTACATTAGTGCCTTCAAACACTGTGAGAACATCTGCTTCTCTCAAACAGAGCTGATGGTGGAGCTGCGTCAGTGAGTGACCAGCGTGGTCAGTTGTTTTGTGCAGATTGTCGGTCATCCAGCTCACTGAACGCTGTGGATTGTTCTGTTCTTGCCAAGATTAAAACTCGTAGATCTGGAAATGTGAGATTAATAATCTCGTTTTAAAGGTTTTTACTAGTTTCTGTCTTTGAAGTCAGGAGATATTCATAAACTGATCATGACTTTTATCCCTCAGTTAGTCGGGAAATCTTAGCACTGTGTAGTAAAACAAGCTGCTGTAGAATACACTCTTAAACAAGAGGGTTCTTAAAGGGTTCTTTAGTAAAGACTTTGGTTCCATGTAGAACCATGAACACTCAAAGAACCCTTTGCATGATTAAAGTGTTGTTTGCATCATAAATTGTATAATTTCATGCAACATTTCAATGGTTTGGAGTGAGAGTGCACCCTGATCATACCACCTCAATCATCCACACTTAAAATAGGGTTCTTTAGTAAAGAGAATGGTTCTGTGTAGAACCATAAACACTCAAAGAACAATTTGCATGATTAAATGTTTCTTCAGATTAATGGACAATGTGTTTTAGGTGCTTCTATATAGAACCTTTTTGAAAAGGGTTCTACATAGCACCAACAAGGGTTCTTTTATTGTATACAAGCTTGCTATAGCAACAATAGTACACACTTTGCTGTGCATTAGAGAAAAACTGAAAAACCGTACATGGTTCTGTATAGCACCAAAAAGTGTTCTGCTATTGTTATGATGTCAAGCTTCACTCTTAAAAAAGATGGTTCTTCAAGGGTTCTTTAGTAAAGAAAATTGTTCTGTATGGAACCATGAACACTGAAAGATCCATTTGCATGACTTTGCATGGTGAAATAGTTCTTGAGATTGATGGAGAATGTGTTGTGTATGGTTCTACGTAGCACCAAAAAGGGTTCTGCTGTTGTTACTAGCTTGACATTATACACAATAACAGCGTGTGAATGTTTGAGTACTCAAATGTTGAGATGACTTAAAATCTCCGTCCCTGCTAGCTGTGATTGGCTAAACCTAGAAGAAGCTCAGTGCTTACCTGTCCAGGAGAAAATCAGATACTTTGAGTCGACTGTCCGCTCTGTTATTTACAAGTGATCAGATCGGATTTGTGTGTCCAGATGTCACCAGTCTGTCTGCATGGGTTGCCATGGTAACGACGTGGCGTCAGTAACTACGTAACCACGCTGGTATCGTGGATTTCAAACGTGGATGCGGGAGAGATGGAGGAGCATCATCTCGCCCTCCAAACTCTTCAGAACTCTCTTCATGATCATGAATCTTTGGAGCTCTTCTTGAATCCCAGCATTTCCATCAGTCTGGATTTGACACTGTCGTTGTTTGTTGCATTGTGAGTGACGTAAAAGACACTTTGGAATCCGATTTGAGCGTCCAGACTGAGACGCATCTGTAAAAATCAGACTGGAGTTGCATTTAAACCCCCTCCAATTGTGGTCTGGATCTGATTTGCAAAAATCTAATTTGATGTGTTTTTTTTTGCTGTCCAGACTATCAAACACCAATCTGGATATCCTGAAAATCGGATTCTGGGCTCTAAGCTGCTTCCATCTTTCAAATGTTTTGCCAGTATTTACTCACGTTGTGCTGCGTCTCTGCCAGGGTTGGGAGAGCTACTGAAAAATTAGTAGTTGGCTACTTAGTAGCTACTTTCCCAGCATTTGTAGCTGCTACAATTTAGCTACATTTCCAGAAAAAGTAGTGGCTACTTTTTAGCTACTTTCAAAGCGTGACTCTCAGAATGTTTGTGAATCTCCACCTGACACACCAAACAAGCCCAACTGACAGTGTGAACAGGTCACTGTGTTTCATCATGAGCCAGAAAGAAACAGACAATTGAAAAGCTGCAAATATACAAAAAGATCACCAAGAAGTGAGTTTAAGTGTAACCAGCAATCAAACTTACACAGCCAAAGGCCTGATATCCAACAAACATTCAGACTAAAGGCAAAGTCAGTCATTCCAGGTTCTTCCTAACAAAAATCAACAAAAATAACCGTAAAACAAACCAAACAATGTTGTTCAAAGCTTTGTCAACGGTTGAAATAAAACTGCTCAGCAGGATATACAGACACGACATTCAGAGTCCTTTAAACTTTAAACACTTTAGCTGCAAATTCTCATCAGTGGCTCTGTTTGGGGTGAATCAGACCTCAATAATCTCTCCACTGCTGCAGAGCTGCTGCGGCTCCACAGCAGAACCAGATTTAGGTAAAATATAAAAATCCTCCTTCACTGTAAAATCATTATAACACACAGTTCTAAAACAGGCTGCTGGACACACAGCGACGCAGATAACGAAACGGCAAAGAGAGAGATTTAAGATGAGCATCGATCATTTGGAGATGAGTGGACTTATTTGTGTTTATAATCACTCCAGCTGGTTTCCTGATACGTTTAATCTGCAACAACTCGTGAAGCTGAAGTCGCTTCTCATTCTCCGGCTTCTCTTTCGAATTCTCCCGTTCCACCTTAAATGGTGCAGCAGTACAGTCTGGCGCCTCAGGCACCATTTAAGGTGGAACGGGAGAATTCGAAAGAGAAGCTGGAGAACGAGAAGCGACTTCGGCCTCGTAAAAAGTCGAACATTGAGAGACATTTTACAAGAAACTGTTCTACTTTTGAGGAAAGGTTTCCTGCCGGAGATGCGAGAAAAGCGGCTACAGCTGAGCTAAAGATTAAAGCAGAGCAAAGTAAGTCTGTGTTTTCGTTTATATTATGTTTTTAGCCTGAACTAGTGCATCAACACACACTGAGACATATTTATAGACATGATGGTAAAATGGACATAAAACGTTGTGGCTCCCTGAGGTGGTTTCATTTCTGTTAAAAGGACAAAGTGGCTCTTCTTAACATTTCGGTTGCGACCGCTGAGCTAAGGCTACTAGTAAGGGGTGATCAGCGTGTGACCATTTGCTCAAACTGTCCGCAGCTCAGTCAGGATTGCACAGTCGCCAGCAGCCCGGTTAACGGCCGCGTTCTGTGGTTCAGATTCTGCGCCGATTGCCTAAAGCCTGTAACAAAATTGTAGCAAAAATTATCACTATAGCTACACAAAAAATAGGCGCTACAGCTGTTAGCTGCATTTCATAAAACTGTAGCAGCTACAGCGATTAGCTACAAACAGTAGTGCGCTACTTAGCTACTCCCCCATCCCTGGTCTCTGGTCATGGAGCTCTTTAGAAGGATGGATGCTGAAGCTTTTTAGAAGGGGGATCCAGTTCTTGCCTCCATGGCTGCAGCACTCAGTGTTTGCTGGCCAGTTTGTTTCATATCTGGCAACCCGGGATGTGGAAATGGTGCAGTGGGCGGGATCACAGGCCAAAACACAAAGAGACTTTCCGCTCCGGAATGGAAATTTCAAAGGAGAACATGCTGGCTGTAGCGCTGCTGTTGGAGAAGACAGGATTTCAGCTTAGCGTGTTTCCTCAATCTTCAATGACACATCATGGTCACTTTGATTTATTACAGAAAATATAACATATTGTTCCTTTTAAATAACTTTCTCCCCAAATTCAGTGTTTATTTCTTGTATTTTAGCCATAAATAAAAGCA